TAAAATATAATTTTATAAATAAATTTGATATTTTTAATTTATATATATATCTAAAAAATAATATTAAATATATTATTTTTAAACAAAAGATATTAATTATTTTAAATTATTTAAAAATTATATTTATTGAATTAAATTATTTTAATTTTTAATTAAATAAATTATATATTGAAATTAAAATAATATAATATGATTTTATAAAAAGATAATAATTAAATTAACTAAAAAATAAACATATATAATATTCTGTAATTAATAATAATAAAAATACAAATATAAATATTGTAAATAATAATAATTAATTATATAGTATATGGACAACAACTAAAAAGCTAAAAACTATATTGATATATATAAACATATAATTAAATAAATTACAATTTAAAAACTGTTCTAAACCCAATTTTTATCAAAGAAATTTTTTTTTACTAAATAAACTTATAATTCAATCTATATTTATAAATTATAAGAAAATATAAACATTTAATTATAATTAATTATAGATTTCTATGAATATTTCTAACTTTTAAACAAAGAAAAAAAATAACAACTGAAATTTAAACTAATTTTAATTATTTAAAGCCTAAATACGACTACTAAAGAATGTTATTTTTTATTTATGTTTTCATTCGTCTCTATTAAATACCCAAATATATGACAAAAATAATCTTATGTACGGTTTAATAAACTCGAAAATTTTAGTTAATATATTAGATAAGTCGAGCAAAATCTTTATAAATGTATTATAACAAACTTTAAAGAATCTAGCTTTAAAAATAATGAAGAGAATATTTTGAAAGATACTATGATCAATTTAAAAAAAAGACCTTATAACAAAAATGATCTAAATTAAAAATTGAATCGTTTTCCATCTTGTTGTTGTGTTTTAAAACGTAAAATTTGAATAAACTAAAAAGAAATTTTCAAAAGCAAACAAATTTTCTTATTTATGCATATATATAATATTTTATAATATGAATTTATTAAAAATAAGAATAAGTTACCTAAAAAACCATTTTGGATAATGAAGCCTTATAATTGTGTTTGCAGGCAGACAAGGAATTAAATTAATAAATAAGAACCCTAAAATCAAACGAAAGTAAATTTTGTTTAAATTTAAGAATATAAATAGAATCCCTCGTATAATAAATGACCTGAAATACGATTTATGATTTTATGATTAGGTTATTAGTTATGAACTCTTTTATTGGAAATAAGTATTTAAATTTAACAAATTATAATATAAATATGTAAATAATGAAAAAAGTAACATAGATGAACAAATACAAACAAATTAGAATAAAGAAAAATATATATTTTTGATAAAGAAAAATGATTATTAAAGTATGTTTTTTGGATAAATATTACAAAATATAAAGTATAAATAAAAATAATTGTTTTGAACTATAGGTATTTGATTTTTAATTAACAAAAAATTAATACTATGATATTTACAGAGGTAAATTAGTGTATTTTTTTTTATCATCTAATTCTGGTTTAGATAGAAAAATAAAACATTCTTAAATTTGGGATTTACTAATTTAAGTAGGAATTAAATATTAGAATATTAATAAAAATTATAGGCTTTTAAAGAGTTTTTCCGAATAAAATATAAATTGAAGTTTTAAGATTTTTTGGAATTATAAATATTCAATATTCAAAAATATTTTAGTTTATAAATAAATTAATTCCAATTTAAAATATTTATAAAATATTTAATAAAAAATAATAATAATAAATATATATAGTTTTGATATTAAATAAAAAAGAATAAATTTTTTTATTTTTTTTTTCTTGCTAAATAAAATAAAGAAAATTATAAATTATATTTAATAAAAATAATATTGTAAATATTTTATATTTAAATATATTTATTAAAAAATTTAATATAATTTATAAAAAAAAATTAAAAATATTACTAAATAAAATAAAAATATAATGATTATTAAATAATATGCTGATTTTAAACTAATTTTTTTTTGTTATAAATATATATATTATATATTAATTATATATTTTTATTAATTTATTATTTAGTATTTAAAGAAAATTATTAATAAAATAATTTAATATTAGGTCGAAATTTAAAAATATCCTTTATCTAAATATATATATATATTTATAAATTAAATATTTTTTTCTAAAAATAAATATTATTCCAAAAAAAAAAAAAAAAAAAAATGAATTTCAATATATTTGCAAATTTGCCAAATGACTCCGACGACGAGCCTCAAAGTAACAAATAAAATACTCAAACCACTTAATATAAAACCTAAAAAAAAAAAAAAAAATTAAAAACAAACAATAAACAATAAAAAATAAAAAATTATATATAGAAAAGGATACAAAGCCTGTTAAAACTTAAGATAAAAAAGCAGGTGCACCCGCAGACAAAAAATAATCTGAAACCACAAATGCTGCCCAAACTGCCAACTAAAACCGAAGAACTTAAAACCCTAATGCAAGATAAACTAACTACAACAGAGGGGATAATAATAACAACAACAACAACTAAAATGGAGATTAAAAAAAAGACTATTAAAAAAGAGCACCAAGAGTTGGTGAAGGAAATGTTGGATAATAAAATGATTAAGGTGCTAGAAAAGAATACAAACCAAGAGTTAATAAAGAAAGAGATGAAAGAAAACATAAAGGTGTCCCATCTGAACCACATCCTTAAGATAGACATTCAGGAACAGGAATCCCAGCATTTTAGTAATTTTTAAATATGAAATTTTAACTAATTTAAAAAATTTTAGAAAAAATTAATTCAGAAAAGATGGAGGAGGAAAAGGAAACTACGGAACAATTAAGGATGAAATAATGTAAATAAATATATATATATATATATAATATATATATATATATATATATATATATATATATATATATAAATTTGAAATTATAATAATAAAAAAATATAATAATAAATAAGAAGAAATATAAGTATAAACTAATTTTTTTTTTTTTAAATAAATTATTTTATTTTAATATTTTAATTATATAAGAATATTTTTTTTATTCTAGTATAAAAATATATATATTAAAATTTTATTAATAAATATAATATATTTTTATTAATATTTAAAATATTACATTACTAATTAAAATTATTGAAATTTAATATATATATATATATATATATATATATATATATACATATTTATATATAAATATCTTATTTATAAAATTTTTAATTTATATATAAAAAAGTGGACGTGAAGAATTAAAGGATGGCTAATAATAAATCAAATAATAATCAGAATCTGCAGTTGTTGAAGAACCTGAAGTTGTTGATAACACAATTACACTTGCTGAATATTATAGCAAACTTGGTTATGTTGCTGAAGAAAATTAACCTGAAGCACCAAAAAGATAATTAAACGAAGAAGAATTGAAAAAGGAAAAACTCTAACTTGTTCACTCAAAAAACGAAAAATAATTAGATACCTAAATACTAAAAGCCTAAACTAAAGCCAAAAAAGGAAATACTACTTATTCTGTAGGATGTAATTCTGAAAACTCAGATCTTCTTGGAGTTAAAACAGGAACTACATTAGTTTCTTATACCGTTAAAAAAGAAGGTGAAACAATAGTTGGTGAAACAAAGAAAGAAGCCAGAAAAGAAAACGTTCCTAGTGGAAATAGAGAATAAAGATAAACTTAAACAAAATAACACCATTAAAACAGAAAGGTATAAATAAATAATATAATCATATAAATATATGTATATATAAATTATTTTAGGGAAAAGTTAATGTTGAAAATGAAGATGACTTCCCTAAACTTGGTTGATTTTTTAATATATCAGAATTAAAAAATATTATATCCATTTAAAAATATTTGCAAATAAATAATTAAATAGTTATATATTAAAATTATTATTTAAATTAGAATTAATAACAATACATATATTTAAATAATTATATAAATTTTATATATGAATAAATATTTTTCTTTTTTTTTCTAGAAATTTTTATTAATTTTATTATTTATTATTATTTTTTTAATAATATAATTTTTTTATTTTTTATTTTAATTAAATTATATTTTTTTTTATATTATAAAATTTTTAATTTTATTTATATAATTTAATAAAATAACTTAATTTTTTTTTTAAGAAAAAATAAAAAATAAAAAATAAAAAAAATGAATATAATTTGATTAATACATAATTAAATAAATATAAATATTATTTTTATTAATATTATTATATGATTTAATAAATAAATTTAAATAAATTAAATAAGCAAAATATACAAAAAAACTTTCTTTAAATAAATATAAAATTAAACTATCATCTTTTAAAAGCATATATAAATAATTATAAATATCAATTAATTTCAAAATAATGATTTATTTATTATTTTAAATAATCTTTTTAAGATTCATCAAAAACCATATTACATGAATTTATAAATAAACTCTATAACTATTCTTTATTTAATTAAAAAGCATCTTATGCAATTTAATATTCTTTACTAATTTGTGTATCCAAAACTCCAGTATCATCAGTATTAATATTCAAAGGATGATTTTTATAAAAAAAGTATTTAAATGGATGATCTTTCATATCATTTAATTCCATACATTTAAAATTACTAGTAGGGCAAGTTTCAATCGGGACTTTTTTTTTAATAATTTCATCATAAATATCATTATTAAAATACAAAAAATGTCCTACTCTATCTGGTACAAAATCTAAAATTTCCTTTGTTTCCGTAAAAGTTGGTTCCCCATCCATTTCTGCGGTATGTACAGTAGTTTTAATACCGTTTTTTCTCGCATCTTCGAAAATAAACCTAAAGTTCTTAAATGTATTTTTAGAAGGATCTCCCGAATAATCTAATCCTACTATAATAGGATTCGACTTAAATTTTAACAATAAATTATAATTTTCAATTGCTTCTTGTATTGATTTACTTCTATCAATACTAAGAATTAATCTTGCTTTCATTTAATTTTTTTAATTAAAAACTTCAATTTCTTCCAATATCGTATTAATATAATCTTCTTTAGAGTTTTTTTATAATTCGAAAATTTTTGGAGTTGTCCTTAATTCTAAATATATAGTATTTTAATTTTGGAAATCTTCTAACATTTCTCGTGTTATCCTTCGTATGGAATTCAAATCAGTTATTACTTTATGGATTATACTGAACATTTCGAATGCCCCTTTTAAATTTATTCGATCAAATATTGATTAATCTATCGGGATGTTTTTTTATTTAGATATTTCGATTAAAGTTTACTTTCTTACACAACCATTTAAATGGGCATGTAATTCAATTTTCGGAGCGTATTTAATAAATTAAGTTATTTAATTTTTTAACATTCTCTTTTATAAGAGATTTTTTTTATTTGATTATTTTTTTATACTTTAATTTATTTTAGTTTAATTGTAAATTCAAAATATAAAATATTAAATTTTTTTTTTTTAATATATAATTTAATTATATAACATATAAAAAGTTTATGATTAAAATTATTTATAATTAAATATTTAAAGTTTATATTATTTAGATATTTTTAAAAATATTATATATCTTTAAAACAATTATTTTTTAATAATTTTATACAGAAATATAAAAATTATATTAATAAAAAGTTATAAAAGAAAAAATTATTAATAATTTTAATAAATAGAAACATATATATATATATATATATATATTAATATATATATATATATATTTATATTTTTAATGCTTTTTTTTATTCTTAATCAATTTTAATAATATTCTTAATATAATCCTGTATGTTTTATTTATTTATATGTATTAAATTTTTTATTTATATTTCTTTTTTATTTTTTTTTAATAAAATATTTCTTTCAAGTTTAATAAATATTTTTTCACTTTTTAATTTTTAATAAATCATATTATAGATATAATATAATAAATATATTATTTTTATCAATAATATATATTTTTTATATAATTATAATTATTTATTATTTATAATTATTTAAGATAATTTAAAATTTTATAATTAATTAATTTTTATTATTATATATTATATTTTATCATTAATCTATATATATTTATTTATTTATATTAAATATTTTTTAAAAATATTAATATTATTTTTTACAAAAAAAATTAAAATTAAAAAAAAAGTTAATCTATCTATAAGTAAATATATAAATATTATACGAAATAAACAAGAAATTCAAATTATTTTTAAAATTTGAAAAATCATTCTATTAAAGTAACTCCATACATACAAAGTACACCTAAACTACAACTAAAAATAGTTAAAAGGAAATTTCCCAAATAAGAATTATGTTTCAAGTTTTATTTTATCTCAGGAAGTAAATTTGTCATACACATATATAAAAATCCTCCTGCAGTAATGCATAATAATTAATGTCTATATAAATTACAATAATATAAACCTATATATTTAAAAATATATTATATATTAATATATATGTATATATATTTTATTTATAATTTGCATATAATTAATTTATAAAAAATAAATACCTAGATATCCTCCTAAAAGTCCTCCTATTAAACATGTAAATAATTAAGATTTTATAATTTATTTAATATTATATTCATATGATATTAAGTGGCCGAAATCCGCAATTTAATGCGGTATTTCATGTATCAAAATAACTAATGTTGTTGTAATACCTAAACTTGTACCTATTTTTTATATTATTTTTATTAATAAAAATAAATAAATACTTGTTGCAAAAGCAGTTCCTACTGCTATTCCATTAGTAAGATTATGCATAAAATCACAAAATAAGAAAGGTATTCCTGAATGTATTTCTTAATGTTTATGATTATGTTTCTCTTTAGGTTCATCTTTCACTTATTCATCATTTACTTTTTGCAATTTCTAATATTTATTATTTTCATTAATTTTAAATATAATAAAATCTAAAGTTATAAGAAAATTAATTCCTAAAATAATCATTAATGGAGGAATTAATTATTTAAAATCATGAGAGTGTGCAGAATGTCCATTATTGTCGCTTTTATGCACTAAATGAGGAAACATATGTAAAAAAACATCACCCAATATAGTTCCCAAACCAAAAGAAAGTAATTATTTAAGTAAAGGCTTTGAATAATTATGCATTTATCCTTTTTAAAACCCTAAGAGTTAAAGAATTATGAATATAGGAATACTAGGAAAAACTATTAATAATATACTGGCGGTTATTTATGTTTCTAAGGCTGGGAAATATTAATTATATAATTTTAAAAGTTTATCTAAATAAGTTAGATTGCGGTCAACTTATATTTAACTACAGTACACATAAGAAGATAAGAATATTAGCGTTGAAATAAATAAAACTTTTATTTTTATAGCCATTTTTTTTTATTTATTTATTAAAATATTTTGAGAAAAATAATTATTATATTTTATTTATTTTATTTAAGTTAAATAATATTGTTTATAATTTATTTTTATGTTTCTTAAATAAAATTATTTTTGGAAATATAATTTTAAAGTTATTAAAAAAATCTATCTCTACAAATATAAAAATATAGTTATATTAAGAAAAAACAATAATAATACTATAATATTTATATAATATAAAAATTAAAATTTTAAAAAGTATTTTTAAAATATAAAGTATTGTATCCATATATATTGATATGTTAATATATATTATATAATATAAACACTTTTTAATATTATATATTTTTCACATAATACATATTTTATTTTTTAATATAATTTTTTTTTTATTAATGGTGTTTAATATATAATTATATATTTAAATAATATGCAAAATGCATATTTAAATTTGCATTATAATTGTATAATAAATATTAATGAAAATATATCTTTTTTATACAAAAATTAAAAAATATAAACAGTATTTTTCAAAAAAATAAAAATTAAAAAAATAAAAGGATATCCCGTATATATAGTAGCCACTAAAAGAACACCAATAGGCTCTTTAAATGGTTCTTTATCTTCTTTAAGATGCCCTGAATTAGCTTTGCTTACTATAAAAGGTGCTATTGAATAAATAAATTTAAACCCAACTTTAATTGATGAAGTAATATTAGGAAATGTATGTTCATCAGGAGAAGGTCAAAATCTGGCCAGACAAGCTGCTTTATTAGCAGGACTTCCAAGCAATATACCATGCACGAATGTAAACAAAGTATGTGCAAGTGGAATGAAGAGTGTAATGTTTGGATGCTAAAGTATATAATTAGGACAATCTGAAATAGTTGTATGTGGAGGATTTGAATCTATGAGTAATGTGCCTTTTTATGTCCCTAATTATAGAAAAGGACATTCTTTTGGAAATTAAACACTTATCGATGGACTTTAATACGATGGTTTAACTAATTTTTATGATAATAAGGTAAAACTAATAAATATTTTTTTTAATTTTATTAAAATAAAATAAAAAAGGCTATGGGTTATTGTGCTGAAAAGACAGCAAAAGACTTTAATATAAATAGAGAAGAAAACGATTAATTTTGCCATGAATCATATGAAAAAGCATTAAAAGCTTAAAAAAATGAATTATTTAAAGATGAAATAATACCTATTAAAGTTAAGGATTAAATTGTAAAAAAGTTAATTATTTTATTTTTATTTTAATAAAAATAAAAATAATATAGATTAATTAAGATTAGGAACCTTAAAAATATAATAAAAATAAAATTTCTTAATTAAAACCTGTTTTTACATAAGAAGGAACTATAACGGCTGCAAATGCATCTAAAATTAACGACGGATCATGCATTATTAGTAAAAAAAAAAAATATTTTTTTATAAATAAAAAAATAGTATTAATGTCTTAAAATAAAATGAATGAATTAAAATTGAAACCATTAGCCTAAATTTTAAGCTATGCTGATGCGGAAGTTGAGCCAGTAGATTTTTGTATAGCACCTGCCAAATCAGGACAAAAAGCATTATATTAGGCTAATTTATAATTAAGTTAAGTTGATTATTTTGAGTTTAATGAAGCTTTCGCAACTACAGTTTTAGCAAATATCCGTTTATTAAAAATCAATTAAAATAGAGTCAATGTAAATGGAGGAGGAGTAGCTTTAGGACATCCTATAGGGTAAATATTTAATAACTTTAAATAACAAATTTTAATATATTAAATTTTATATTATAAAAAATAAAAAAAGAATGAGTGGCGCTAGAATGATTTAAATTGGTTTCTTTATTAAAGTAAAATAATGATTAAATATGAATGGCTGGTATTTGTAATGGTGGAGGGGGGGATCTACAATTATAATCAAAAATATATAATAATTATAATTATAATTTATTAATATGGTTAATATTTATATATATTATAACTATAATATATTAATTTAAATAATATAATAATAAAAATATTAATATTTTATTTTCACTATTATTATTTCGCAGTATTACTTCGAAACTATTTAGAGCAATTTTATATTATTATAATATTTATTTCGTACATATAATTCAAAAATATTATATGATTTGAACATATTCCTAAAGGAGTATATATTGAAATAGAAAACTCCAGTTTATTGATAAAAAATTTATAATAATTACATTTTATTGAAAATCGTAACAATTTTAAGGAATTATATTCAAAATCTCAGAAAAACACTTGTATTTATGTAGTTTATATAAATATTTACTATTATATATTTATTTTTAAATATTTAATATAAGTCATTGGATATGAAAGAAAAGCCTTAAAAAATAAATTTTAAGCATGAAAAATAAATTATAAAATTAATACGGAAACATAAATAGGTATTATAAAAAATATATAAAACTTATATGTATATGGATATATGATAGATTAAGATTAAAAAAGAAAAATTACATAATTTATAACACATTTTTAATATTTAATTTTTTTTAAATATATTATTTAATTTTTTTAACTTTAAGTAATATATATTAAGAACTATTATGTTTCTGACTTTTAGATAAAAATTTTTTACTTATTTACCTTTTATTTATATGACTTATTATTCTTTATATTATTTAATTATAATTATATTTATATTTTTATTTTTATTAAGATTTTTTTATTTTTTTTTACTGAAATTAAATTATCAATAATATCATAGTTCATTAAAATTTACTATGCAATTATTTTATATTTATCAAATTTTTTTTTTTGCATTAAAAATTTATTTAAAATTATTTATTTTGTATTTATATTTGTATTAATTAATATTTATTTTTTTTAATTTAAATACCACTAATAAATAATAATTAAATATTAGATAAAAAATATAAATATATATTGAAATATGCTATTATATATAATTTTTTATTTGTATAAAATTCTACTTATTTTAATAAATATTTTTATTTAATTAAAAAAAGCTGTAAAAATAAATATTATAAAAAATTACACATATATAATCCGTATTAATATATAATTATATTTAATTATAATTTAAATTATATTATGCATATTTCATCACATATAAAATAATAATGGTAAAAAATTAATTAATTATTATTTTTAAAATGTTGACAATAAATAAATATAAATATTTTAAAAGTAGTTTAATTTCAAATTTATTTTTTTATAAAATTAAGTATATTAAACAAATAGATATTAATCTCCTTATTTTTCTTTTCTTTTTTATTTTAATAATAAACTATTTATTATTTAATTTTATATTTTAAAAAGTATTTTAATATAATTATATTTTATATGTATATAAAATTATACAAATATGTTATAGTAATTAAAATTATTTATAAAATTAATTAAAAAAATTAAAATAAAATTAAAATTATATTATATCAATTTATATTATATATAAATCAGTTTTAAAATCATCAAATATTAATAAATAAATTATAATAATAAAATTTAATTAAACAAAAAAAGCATGAAAATTTCTTTAATTTTACTAACTTTATCTCTATTTTATTTAATTGTTCCTACATGCTAACAAGAAGAAGTAGCTTTTGGTTGGAATTCTTTTTTGACATCTCCCAGACAAAATAATAACCCTAGAATATCCGAAAAGGGAGTTTAGAATTGGAGCACTCAATAATAAATAATAAGTATATATTTTTACGTAAACAATAAAAGTGAATTGACTTTAAGCCTTAATGTGGAAGATGTTTAACGTGATGCTGAAATCATAGTATCAATCCCTTAACTTTAAAAGTCCCTTATTATTTAAATATAAAGAAATCAAAAAGTTATTACTCTCTTTGATATAACAGTATAAGAACCTCAATATTTGAAAATAAATTTTCAAGGAACTGATAATTAAATAAATAATCAAAAAGGAAACTATCCAACATTAACTTCTTTATTAGTTTCTGGCTCAAACTTAGACTTAAACTATGTAAAAAAAAGTTTTTCTTCTCACTTTGGAAGAAGAGGTCCTTCTGTGCATTTTACATATGAAGAGCCAATAAAGGAAATCGAATGGTTTTATAATGAAGTATTTGTGCCTAAAGGAAACGATCAAATAGGAACATATGCTATGGCTATAGGTTTTGCATAAGGTTATTTCGGAATATAAGTAAATTCCCAAACTGAAAGAAGAATCTTGTTTTCGGTCTGGAGTAATTAATATAATGATAATCCAAATGAAATTATGCCTGATAATAAGGTAATTTGTTTGTAAAAAGGAAATGATGTTGTAGTTAGAGAATTCGGAGGAGAAGGGTCTGGTGGCTAAAGTTATATGATTTATCCTTGGAAAGTTGATGTTACTTATAAATTCTGGTTAAGGGCTTAACCTTAGGCAGATAATAAAACTAATTTTACTGCTTATTTCTATGATCCTGATACTTTGAAATGGCTTTTAATTGCTTCTTTCTAAAGAAATTATACTAATACTTATATTAAAAGACCTCATTCCTTTTTAGAAAATTTCAGTCCTGAATATGGACATTTGAAGAGAAAAGTCTACTTTGGTAATTAATGGGCTATCCCAAAAAGTTAACCTGGATAAGTAGCGGTACCTGCTAAATCTAGATTTGCAATATTTACTACGGATAGTACTGGTAGTAATAAAATGAGATTAGACTTAAATGGTGGGAATGAAGGTAATTATTTATTTTTAGAAAATTGTGGATTTAGTTTTGACGGAAGGAATCTTATTAAAAGTTATAAAATGTATCATGATAAACACTTTAATAGTCAAAATATTGCACCTGATAAGCCTGATTAGGATGTTTAAAATTTAAATAATAATAAAAAATTAAGAAATTTAATAGAATGACGATATTTATTTATTTCTTATTTTTATAAATTTAATTTTTATTATTTTAAAAAATTTTTAAGTTTTTATATTTTTAATCAAATCTAAAAATTAAATTTAAATTTTTAATTTTAGTATATAAAATAAATATATTATTTATTATGTTTTTTTTTATAAATTATTTAGGGTATAAATAATACTTTTTTAAATATAATAATAAAATAATAATTATAAATATTTCTTTATAATTTAAATATTATTTACATTTAAAATTTTTTTCTTATTATATTTTTTATATTATTTAGTTTTTTTTAAAAAAATAAGATTATAAAAATAGTTATAATAAATATAATTAAAAATAATTTATGAAAATTAAATAAGAATAAGTTTTTTTAAATAATTTTACTTTAAAAATATTATAAACTAAATAAAAATAACAAAAATATATCAATTCATTAAAAAATCATATATTATTTTAATTATTAAAAATTATATTATTTTATTTTTATATCAAATATTAAATTATTGTTTATATAATAAAAATAGATATAACTATATTAATATAAAATCCATATCTAATATATAAATATATTTAATAAAATATAAAATATTATTATTAAATTATCTATATTTTAATAAATAAAAATTATTAAATACTTAATTTTATAAATAAATAAAAAAATCATTATTTTTATTATATTAAAAAATATTCTCTTCCCATTCTACTTTACTTTCTGCGAAACTCATACTCACTCACCTACCCTCACATGCATTATACCCTAAAACATTACACAATTGACTCTAAGGATAAGATAATCCGATAATAGGTTCTAGTTTTTCTGAACAAACTCCATATTTTTATCACAAATAAACTCCCCTTCTTTTAAATAAGCTAATTTTTAAACTGTCCATTTGGCTAAATTAGTGCATCTCTCCTCTTTCTTTCCTTGGTGATTTTAACGCTCTATAATAATCCTCTCCCTCTCCACTACATATAAGATGTCCTTTCATCAAACACCAATCATAAGCGAATCCCCAAGTAAAAAAATTAACATAATTCAGTTGAGCTGTTGACGATTTGCAATTATTTGAATTGAAGATTCCTATTTTATTTAACACATATTAAATTAAATTAAATTAGAAATATATTATTAAGAGTTAATAACTGTTTTATAAGGAAAAAAAAATCCACCAGTTAATTATGTTTAAAGAAATCTTAAACTTTTTTTTGCCAAAATTTGATATATTCACAGCCTAGAAAAATCAACAATTTAAATTCTTCTTTAAATTCTTACTTTAAATATTCCTCGTAGACATGCAAACACCCTTTTTCGACTAGATTTTCAGATAAAAGAGACTTCATAAAGGTTGCTTCGGGATTAATTTTATTCATCATAACGAGTAGGTATAATTTTAGATTTAAAAGCTAGTTTTAGCATATAAACGTTAAGTCATTTTTATTATTTATTAAATAATAATATTTTAAATTTTAAATTTTTTCAGAAATAAAAGTTTGACTTTTTTTATTTTATTTAATTTTTATTTATATATAAATCAATTAAAATTGTATTTTAAGATTAAAATTAAGTGCATTTAATATTAATAATAAAATCTTATTAATTTTTTAAGTTCATATTTATATTTTATTTTCTTTATCAAATAATACTTTAAAGTCTATTTTATTATGTTTTAAAGATTTATTTAAAATTAAAGTTTTTGATAAATTTCAAATACTTTATATTATTTAATCAATTAAAATTAAAATCACTAATCAATTAATTTAAATTAAAATTAATTTTTTTTTTAATAATAAATTATTCTTTTTCCGATTAGAAAACTTTTCTATAGAAGAGTTTAAATAAAATACTTTACATATAATTTTCTTTTACATATATAAATTTAAGAAATATATCAAACATTTTTATTAAAATAATAATAATCCATATTTTTATGATAATTTTTTTGATATTTTGTTTATTTATGTATAACATACTTTAAATATTTATAAAATAATAGATTTTTTAAAACTAAGGAATTTTAGGTCAAATTTTTTTTGTGTCGTATTGTCCTTAAATAATTTGCTGTAAAAAATCTTATTATATATACTATATATAATATAACCATTAAAAGGCATTTTTATTTTCAATATAAACATATTTAGAATTAATCTTTAAATAATATAAATTCAATATTTTTTTTTATAAAAATTATACAAAGGCATTAAAAATATTGATTAATTCTATTTTTGTTTTTCAAAAATTTATAATAAAGAAATTTATTGTCTGTTTTAAAGAGCCTTGAAGGATAATTATTTAAAATATATAATATAAAATAAAAAATATTTTATATTAATATAAAATTGTATCTTTATAAATTTTATTGTTTAATATTAAAATAAAATAATAATGAAATAAGCTTTTAGATTATTTTAATCTTTAAATAAAAGAAGAGTAATAAAAATTTGTGGAATATTCTGTAGTTTTGCTTTATTAAATAAACTACAATAAAAAAGAATATATTCCATAAACAGACTCGATTTTGAAGATAAAGAATATGAAATATAAGAGTATTAAAGTTTTGAAGAATTTTAGGAATAATAATTAGGAAACAAAAATTTAAATAATATTCTTGTATTACCTTAAAATGTAAAAGAAAGCTTATAAAAAATAATTGTAAAATATGCTTAATTAAAAGGCACAAAAGTATTTAAAATAAAATAAAATTTTCCCGAAAAAGAAAATTTTTAAGTCTATATAATAAATTGTGAAGGTGATAAAGAATATTTTTAAATAAAAACAGAAAATAGCCTTTTTGGAATTTTTAGATTTTTAAATCCCCCAAAAATATTAAAATAAAAAGAAGAATTAGAAAAAAGAATTCAAAATTTGAATAAAAACGAGACATTAGTATTTACTTATATTCCTTTTTCTTCGGAAAAAAGTGAAGATTTATCAACTTTTTATAGATAATTAAGTTATTAAAATAATGATAAAAATGTCTAATTCTTTATTTTATAAAATAACGATTTTAACCAAATTTAAATTTAAAAAGGAGAAGTTTATATTTTAAAAAAAGTAAAAAAAACCTAACTGAATAAATAGGTAATTTTATGGAAAAATAATACATTTTAAGTAAAATTTCAATTGAAAATAAGAACTAAAACGATATAAAACAATAATTATATGCAAAAAGCTAAAATTAAATTAATTCTTTCAATATAGCAAATGAATTAGATAATTTTTTGAACGTTTCATAAGACATGAACTTGAGAAAAATTCTTATTTATTATCCCTGCTAGAATTTTTCTGAAGAAAGAAAATTAAAGACAATTAAAAAATTAATCGATGTGAAAAAAAAAATAGAATAAGAATACAATACATAAATAGCTATTATTTATGTGAAAAACCCAGATATTATAAGTAATTAATTTAATATTATTTTCGCTTAAAAAAATGAAACTTTAAGATTTTTGGATTATTCCTAAAATATAAATAATAATCAATTTTAAGATTGGAATATAATTTAATTATATAATATTTAAAAAGAAAATTCAAATTCGGTTCTGGAGGAAAATTTCTATAAAAATTATTCAAATTAAATTAAAAAATATAAATATGATGATAAAATTACCAGAAACAAACTTACTAAGTTTCTTAAAGAATCATTAGAATAAAGTAACATAAATATATATTTTTTTTATTAAAAATAAAATAGTAAATAAACCTTATATTGAATAAGAAAAAATTCCTATTTTTTACATTTCGAAATTTTTAAATAATAAAAATTTCCTTTCAGAAATTATTCATAATGGGGAAGTTAAAAACTAAATAGTCTATTACTATAAAAAAGGTTGTCCTACATGTTAAATGGTTTCTTTAGGAGTAGAATAGTTCGCTTAAGATTTGATTAAAGTAAATTCTTTAAAAGATTAATAACCATGGGATGATAATATTATTAATAAATATAGAATATAAAATAAAGATAAATTCTTAAGTACTTAAATATATAGATATAATATTTACAATGAATGTCCACAATTTCCATCTCCTAGTGCCACTCCTTTATTATTTTTATTCACTAAAGATAATAAACTTAAACCTATTAATTTAGATCTTATTAAGGATAGAGTAGATTTAAGTAGTCCTGAATAAATTTCAAAATATATATTCAGAAAAGTTGAAGAAATAGGTATATGAGTATAAAAATTTTGAAAATTATTATTATTATTAATAAATTAGACATTTAAATCTTTGAAAAATCAAATTTTTTGAATGAATAATAGATTTTTTGTTTACATTTAATTTAATAATTATTTTATATTAAATTTATTAAATTAAATATTTGTATACTTAAATTTGTAAGTTATAAAAAAAAATAGTTTAAGATTCATATATATAAAATAAAAATATATATACGCTTAAAACAAATATTAACGCAGTAAAATAAATATTAATAGCATAAAATAAAATTTATAATAAAAATATATTTAATTAATTTTTTAGCTATTTAATTTATTTTATAAGTATATTTAAACATTTAAGAAAACTTTGAAATATACAAAATATATATATATTTTTTTTTAATAATCTGGATTTTTTAATATACTATAAAATAATTATTTTTAAAATTTTGTTTTTTTATATTTTTTGTTAATAAATTAAAAGCTTATTAGATAATTCTTCTTACTAAAATATATTTATTTCTTTTTAATTAAATAAATTTTGTTTATATAATAAAATTATTAAATTGAACTTTTATATTTTCTTTATAATATACAAATATGTATTTTGTTTTTAATATGCTTCTCAGATTTAATCTAAAAAATAATAAAATAAAGAATGATTTAAAATTAAAATAATAATATTACGTTTTCATTATTTTAATTTTTCATTTTATTGTATATATATAAAAAAAAGCACAATATATAATTTACAATAATACATTAATATATATATCAATTCAATATATAAATATAAATATTATATAAGATAAAAAAATATAAAATAAAAAGTATGAGGAGAGGAATTCATAAAAAAAAAAGTAAGAAAAATAAAAATTATATTAAATTTTAAATAAAACAGCAAATATAAAATTATTATTAAAAATAAAAAATTCATTGAATTTTATTCCGTAAGTATACATAAAACAATACAATAGATGCAAAACAATTTATATTAAAATTATCTGTTAATGTATAGGTAAATTTAATACAATATATATTTTAGAATTAATAATATAAAAAACAATAAATAATGTTTAATTATTAAATAATAATTAAAAATTAAATAAAATAAAAGTTTTATTTTAAAATTAAAAATAATATTTAAAAAAATTTTATATAATTAAAAAAAACTTATATTAATTAAATAATTTAAAAAAGAAAACATTAAAAAATATTTTTAGAAATTAAAATAGTAAATAAACATTTTCATAATATAAAAAAGTAAAAAAAAAAAAAATACATAAAACTTATTTAAATATTCAATCTTAAAAACGAACTTTTTTACTGGACTTGCATCTTTTATTTGTACTTTTAGTTATGTCATTTAACTATTATTTATTATGATTATTATTATTATTATTATTATTATTATTATTATATATTATTAATATTATTACTATCATTGTTATTAATATAGTTTTTAATAATACTATCTATTTTATTTTTATCTTTTTTTTATTTACTATCATTACTATTATTATTATTTTTCCTTTCATCATTATATTTTATTTTATCATTATTATTTATATTGATATTATTATTTTAATTTTCTTAATTTATTTCATTTTTACAATTAATAATTTTTTAGAATGATATAATAGGTGCATTCTTAGGTAAAGGTTATAAGTTTTAGAAAATGTTTATTCCTATTATTTTTTATTCCTTAATTTCCTATTGACTACTATTATTGACTTATAAATCTTATAACTTCTTATTTATTAAATCATCTACTTCATTTTATTCAATTTCAATTTCATTTTTTTCAAAATCAATTTATTTTAAAACATTTTCATATACACACCATTTTCTATTCATTTCTTTTTCTTATTTTTCATCTCTATATACTATTTCTTTAAATTTATTTTAAATTTTATATTTCGATGCTTCAGGAATATTTTTTAAAAGCTCTCCAATTAATGTTATTTTTGAAATTTAAGATTTATGCACAATTTTTACGAATTTTTTTAGTTTTTCTTCAGTCCAAAATCCACTAGATTTATTATTTTTATCTTTTTATTTATTGTTCTCAACTTTTTATATACATAATGGATATTATAAATTTTAATCGAATTTTTTTATAATATATTATTAAAGGAAATTTTCATTATTATAAACAAGAAAACATTACTTACTTAAATCTTATTAATAATTAATTTATTAATTTTTAAATACTTTTCTTTCATTATCACTTTCAAACCCTTCATCAGATAAATAGCCATCTGAAACTACAAATCTATTTGATATTTAATCATCATCTTGTTCTTCTTCATCTAAATCTTCTTCATCATCCTCTATATTTTCAGCATTTAATTCCTATATTTCATCTTCAGTATCATAATCATAATTAATTAATTCCTCATCTTTCTAAAGAGGGTTTCTGCCTTTAATTTTCTTGCTTTTTAATTAAAACTATACATTTCTAAACTATTTAACAGAGTCATGGATAAATATAAATTTATTTTTATTCTTTTAATTATTTTTAAAACAAATCTACTTAAGTAACTTTGTTTAATTTTTAACATATTAAAGCATTTAAAGACCATCTATATAATTTGGAAAAGATTAAAGAATTTAATTTTATAATGAATTTGGTATATAAGACCCTATTTTTTTAAAAAGACTATTTTCTATATTTTTTTAATTAGTTTATTTTTTTTCTAAATTGAAAAATTTTAAAAGTGTATTTTATTTAATTGGAGATGAAATTTTCATTTTTTTAATATTTTCTTCTATCTAATTATTATTATTTCCCTTTAATTATTAAAAATTCTATACTAGTTTCAGTTTAGGCTTATTATTAACTAATTTTATATAAGAACTGTAATTTTCATCTTAATTTTTACCTTTTTCAATTGATTTTATTAATTTTTCTAAATTTCTTAAAATCTATAAATGATGTCTTCTAATTTTTCTCAAAAAATCAATTTCTTCTAAATTTGCATTATCTCTTAAAAATTAAATTTCTTTTATTTCCCAAACTTCATGAAAACCTGTATTAGATAAATCTTATTGGATTAAATTTTGTAATTCTTTATTTATTTTTAAACAATAATTCTTCTTTTCACAACTCTCCACAATCAAGTCTCGATAAAAGTCCAAATCTTCTAAATAATACAATGTTTTTACCTCATTTTATAATAATTTTTATATATAACTTTTTAAATTTTCACTTAATTTTAACAAATCGTATTCTTAGCCGCTTTTTCCTTCAATTAACCATAAACCTAATTCTTTAACTGTTTATTTTACATAGTCTAATTTTTCTTCCTCAGTTTTTTAGTCATTTAATAATTCTTTTAATTAATTTATTTTATCTTCTATTTACTATTCTTGTGGTTGTTATAAATCTGGAGTTTATTGTATTCCTGTATTTAAAAGTTTTAATAATTCATGTATGTATTCGTCTTTTTTTAACATCCAATATTGTTAAGAATTATTTATATTATTCTCAGCCTAACTCATACTTTGGTATTTTTTATATATATATATGTGTTTGTATTTTTGCTTATTTTTTTTAATAATTTAATATTTAAAAAAAAAGTAATAAAATCCGGGTAAATAATTAGATTTTTATATATTTAATTTTATGAAATTAAAAAATTTAAATTTTAGTTTTTAAAAACAAATATTTTTTTTAAAAAAAAAATATAATATAAAAATTTTTATTAATATATATGTATATTTAAAAAAAAAAAAAAAATTAAAAAATATTAAAAGAAAAAAATTAAATAAAAATTATATATTTAAAATATATTTTTTCTAATAACTATTACAAATGACTACTTTATACATTATTAAACAATTTTATTTATTTATAAATAATATTTTTATTTTTTTTATAATAATCTTTTTTTATTTTATAATTTTTTTGTCTTAGTTTAATTCAAAATATTATATTTTATTAATATTTAAAAAAAATATGGACTAATATAAATATTAATTTAAATTAAATTTATATTTCAATTTTATTTTAATTAATAATAAAATGTTTTATAATAAAATAATCTAATATTAATAAAAAATTTAGTTAATTCGTTATATAAATTTATCATTATATAATAATAATAATAAAAAATCATTTTTTTTTAATAATATTTATTTATTATATGGGAAGCGCTTAATATTGTTAATTAATGTGTGCTGATTC